GAGAAAAGTACATCTCAACAGTGGTGTAATTACTTATTGATTTAAGAATAAATGCTGTTGTTATTTGAGTCCGAAATTAATTAAATTGCTGCGACAAGTTTAACACTCACAAGTGACATATTTGAAATGTGTATCTATGTTTTGCTGAATACAAATGATTCAGTGCATTAAATAGGCACTTATACAGAATACAATGTATTTATTGCACGAGCAGCCAAACACTGAACGTCTTTGGTAAGCTAATTGGCCTCAAGAGCATTCGCCTAAAAAAGGATATATAAGAAGATGCATTTCTTTAAGGTGATACTGTATACAAAGTTACATAACTTGATTTTTCTCCAATTGACAATGGATGATGTTAAAATGTGACTTTATTTCAACACTACCCATCTCTTCTTCTTTCCATTGTCTCCATGCTATTAATGCATTATAAGATACAAAATCTACAACATTGCTGATGTTCACTTTAAGTATAATTTAACTGAAAAAAAAAAAGTGGAAAAAAAAGAATAATAGTTTTATTTAGATTACGTTGTTTTCGTAATCGTAATTGAGATTTTAAAATGCGATTAATTGAGCAGCCCTAAGTGGCAGTAGCATTACATATGGCCCTATACTTCTTTGTGCCCCTGCACAACACAAACAATCCCCACCACCACCATGAGCTGTAGCCTGGGCTTGGAAAGGCAATGGCCTCCAAACCATAGAGCCTCTGATAGAAAGATGTTCCAATATTGAGGTATTTATCAACACCAAAGGTATACAAGGACACTTCAGGGAGAAGCTTACCTCCTTAGACTCCTTTTGTGAATCCGCTCTACAACAACTGTCTGTATCTTCACTGAATTGTGTGATAAATCTCATATCAGTGACAGTTTGTTGCGCCTTATTCCCCAAGTGGCTCTCAACCCATCTGTTGGCGTTAGTGTTCAGTTCTCTAAATGTTTTCTTCATGATACCCGGCGTCAGCCTTGGAATACTTTCTGCGGTTTTGTAATTGAACTCTTTTCTCCAAAGAGCTGAGACGCTGATTGCATCCATTGCTTTTTCAATCAGAAGCATTGTCCCTGCACCCAGTGTGACTATAACCAACCCTCACTATACTTATTTTTAATTAAAAGCTTTTCTTCTGATGCTTTCTTGTAATTAGAACCTCTGATTATCCAGATTACTGTTCATGTAGTGCCTTGTGTCGAAACACTGTGAAGTTATAATCTATACATCTACATCCTCAGTTATTTCAGTTTTCACCATGCATTGATGTTCTCAGTGTTGTTGTCAGTTATGCATAAGTCTTCTATATTGGTTGCCCATTGCTTTTCATTGACCCATTCCTCTTTCAGTGCTTGCATTACGCATGACTTATCAGTAGAGGGAGCCACAGCCTTTATTATTTCGGAACTTTCCCATTAATGATGCTTTAAAAAATGTATACCGAGCTACCACTTGTGTGGTGTTCTGCACAAGTGGTAGCTCAGTCTACATTGGTCATTTTCGACAGCTTTATGTGTCTTGGTTTTCTAGTTCAATCATTTTTTTCCCAGGTATACACCTATACCTTGCTGAGACATTTATGCAAACCCTGAAAGATGTCTGACTAACAACAACAGCAAGAAAACAATCTAGAAAAAACTGGTAACATTCAATCGTTTCTGTCTGCCAACAGAAAACCCAGCATCAGATTCTGTCCCCGGCAGCGGAGATGGTATCCCCAGCCTGAGCCAGCCGCCCCAGGCCAGTGAGGAGAACAGTAACAGCAGCATGGGGGCTGTTACAAGATGTCCTGAACCTCCAGAACTGGCTGACAAGTCCTCCCAGTCCTCCCTGGCCAGCCTTGATGACATAGGTTTGACAATATAATAATGACTTCTCTTTTGTTGTCTAATTTATATTATACTGATGAAAACGGCACTCGGCTGTGCTAGGGTGTCTATCGTGAAAGGGGATTCTGATCTAAATTTTACTTCTTGATTGAACAAATGTTATTTAAAAAAAAACACCTTTGCAAGCTTAAAATGATGCCAGAAAAGGGTATCTCTCAGTTTCACTCAAGCCATTTTCACATTATACATTTAATTAAGTTAATAGCCCTTAAAGCAGAACACACAAGCAGAACATTTGATCACCTTATGAGAAAGGCAGTTTTATGACTTTTAATAATTGAGTATTCCTTCCGTGCACATTGCACATCATAAAGCTTTTCTAATGGACTGTGCTATTTATGAGACTGTTAAAGGCTTATCTGTCTTGGACTGAACGGTGTATTGGGTTTTCAGGGGACGGTAATGACGCTAACGGTGAGCCGTGTCCCGGCGGTAGGGGGTCCGCATCCACTCGCATGGTGACCCGACTGAGGAACCCCGAGAGCAAACTCAGCCAGATGAAGAGCCAACAGGTGGCTGCTGCTGTTCATGAAGCCAACAAGGTCTTCAAGGAGGGCAAAGAGGTGAGAATAGTGTCCAACACCCAGGTCAAAAGCATGCCAATGTATGTAGAATTATGCAATGGCCTAGTGGAAGAGAATTGGAGATTAACCTAACTATCTTCAGGCTATTTAATTGTGTCCCTTACTAACCTTTGACCTATTATTAAAAGATGATTTAGTTTGACTTTAACTTAGATAAGCAGGAGCGTGACTTGGCTCATTTACCAGGCTGTAATTTAAATAACTTGAATGAGGATTTTTTTTTTTTTGTTGCGACATTTTACAGTGGAATACAAATGTCCCTTGTCATAAGGCAGTCTATAATAAATCTGAATGACTCATTCCCCCCCCCCTACCTCTTCAGATACTAGTAGTAAATGCACAAGGTGACGTCACCCGTGTCAGCACGCGAGGGAAGGAGGTGGTGATGAAGGGGACACTCAGTCCATTCTTCAAGCTGGGCCAGGAGGGGAAATACCGCGTCTATCATAATCAATACAGTAGCAATACTGTGGCACTCAACAAGCACCAGCACCGAGAGGTAAGCAGCACGACGTTTGAAAGTAGAGAAAAAAGCATTGAATAAGCTGCAAGGTGGCTCAGTAGATTCCAGACCCTTCTGGTATTCGTTTTGCTTCGTGATTGCAAGGGTTTCTTCCACTTTTATCAAGACATTCAAGTCACTTGGATTAGTAATTGGTGTGCGAACAAAGATGATATGAAATTGCTGGTAGGTTCTAAAAACATATTTTTTGTTTTTTTCATCAGGACCACGACAAGAGGCGGCATCTCTCCCACAAGTTCTGCATGACACCAGCTGGAGAGTTTAAGTGGAACGGGTCTATTCATGGCTCCAAGGTTCTGACCATCTCCACACTGAGAATCACCATCATCCAGCTGGAGAACAACGTTCCAGCACCCTTCATGCACCCTAACTGGGCCTCACACAGGTAGAGTCAGGCACTGTCATATGGAAATTGTATATTACTATTCTGATACTCTAGGTTGTCTGTATGGATGTACCGATAATATACATGAGTGCGGTACACCAGCACCCACTGCGCTCTTACATCAATGCAAGAGTCTTGTCCAGCCATTGGCTTTTTCATCTAAACAGCAAATGGGTATGCAAGTCTTCCTTGTCCGACTGCAAATAAGATTTAGCCATTGCAAATTTGATGCATGAACACCTGAGTTTAACATTCTCCAATGCCACACTGAAATGCAAATTGAGTCAACACTGAATGCCTCCCTAGTTGTCAGTCATGTTGGCATTGGTGCCTTTCAGTAATTCAATTTAATTATGTTAGTTATCAAAAAGGCCAGAATTATGCCACTTCTTCCTTACTAGTAAAAAAACTTAAAACTGGGATAGGCCAAAAAAAATCTAAGTACAAAGTAAAGAGAGACATTTCTAAATGTTCAGTGTTTGTTTTCTTGTTTTATAGGACCAACTGGATCAAAGCTGTTCAGATGTGCAGTAAGGCCAGAGAGTTTGCGCTGGCTCTGGCCATCCTAGAGTGTGCCATCAAACCTGTGGCTATGCTGCCTGTCTGGAAGGACTCACTGGGCCACACCAGGTACACACATAGTTTATTAACAGTGTGTGTGTGTGTGCATGTGTGTTTGTGTGTGGACGTACTTTCATTATATGTGCTTTTACAATGTGATATAAAACACAAACTAAGAAAGCGAGTCCTATAAGGTTGCTGTCCCTCCATATGTTTTCAGTCTAGATGCAAGACATTCAATACTTCACAAGCATTCATGACGTACACTGGGTGTGTGTGTTCAGTTTAGCAGGCAGAGGCGATCATAAGCAGATCAGATCAAAAGGCCCACCCTAGCTGTGAGGCATAATATTTAGACTGCAAGTCCACTTCCACTGCCACCCACCTCTGCCTCTACTACTGCTCAACACCACAACGCCCCTTTAAAGAAGACATTGTCCAATATTTACAAGGTTGGGATCAGAGTGTGCTTGTGTTTGAGACTGAACTGTGAGCTTTTCAGAAACATGGAGAACATTTGTGAGTGTCATGTTCTTTTCCTGTTCCAAGAGCACTTTTCATCTTTAGTAAGGGCTTTAATTAATGCGCTTACATTACTCAAGAAGCTTCCCAGTTGTTTACTTACACCTAAGGCAAGACACATGTAGATATTGCCATGTATATATTGCCATGAAGCGTACATTAAGACAATATTTTTTGAATTACACGTTTTCTAAAATGTTTTTGAAAATGATTAAGTTAATTTGGATATATCTTATAGCTACATATATTGGAAAAATACTTTTAACAGCCATGTTTCTATTCTTGCTAGAAGTAGAATTCACTGAATGTACAATGTAAGAGCAACAGGCTACACTGTATGACAATTAAAACAATTTCAGGTTGAATCGCATGACATCCATTGAACGTGAGGAGAAGGAGAAGGTGAAGAAGAGAGAGAAGAAGCTGGAGGATGAAGAGACGATGCAACAGGCCACATGGGTCAAGTACACCTTTCCCATTAAACACCAGGTATGTCGCTTACATACTCACAAATCCTTGGTTTTCAATATTGTTAAGATATTGACTTGCATTTCAGACACACAATGAACACCCTCTTCACTCCTGCACCTACTTGTACTACATACTGAGCATAAACGCTGTGTGTTTGCACCCATAATGGTTACAAAGAGGTCTGTACTGTCATCTGACTGTTCACTGCATGCATGATATTTTTTCCCTTTTCAGCAAAACCTTCAAATAAATGAGGGAGGTAAAAATGAACAAAATATGAATTACTGAGCTGTCAATATGTGAGCTGCCTCTTTCAGCTGCGATCACCAAAATAATTATTCTGCTTACCCTCACACATCACTTCCTGCTCTTATGAATCCAAATGTATTGCATTTAGGATGATATTTACTTTTTCCTTCAGCCTTTCACACTTTTATAAGCGCAGGGTTATCTCCAAAATCCCTTTTCATTTCGAATGATTTTTGTGCTACCTCATCTAATGAAAAGTTAACCAGCCATTTAGTTTTGTGGTCTGTGTCAACACAACATAAAAACGATACGAACCATAGGATGAGGGTGATATATTTCAGGCTAGTCCACTTGTAGATCTAGACTTTACCGTGCAGAAAAAAACTGAGGCTTTGCTGTGGGAAACAATGCTGTGTACTGTATGTTGTGCGTGAGTGACCATCAAGGGCTCTTTGATGCAGCCAGTGGAGCTCTGCAATGAGTCATTTCCCTCAACAATTAGTGATCAGTATGTGAGTAACCTTTAGCTTTTAAGCGCTCTTTGGAACTTTGCCCTCCTCTTAAAACTCGTTTTTTCAGTTTTTCCTGATTCGCTTTTCTCTGTTGGAAACGTTCATCGTTCTTAGGTTGTTGTATCCCTCCATGACTCATACTTCATCTTGTATTACTTGAAGGTGTGGAAGCAGAAAGGAGAGGAGTATCGTGTAACCGGCTATGGAGGCTGGAGCTGGATCAGTAGGACTTATGTGCAGCGGTTTGACCCCAAGCTTCCCGGCAACACAAACCCCAACTACCGCAAAGAACTGGAAGGTCCGGAATGGGAGACTTTAGGGGCCTAAAATGTGTTTTTCTCAAAAATGTTATTTAGTCTCTAAGATTTAGTCTCTTGTGCAGCAATCTCAACAATTAAATTGTGTGTGTTGCATTCAAGCCTCACTTTTGATTTGCTTTTGGATATCATTATGTTAAGCAAATCAAAAACGTCCCAAATATTTGAATAATCATACTGTTGGTTTATGTTTTTTATTTTTTATTACCTTTTACCTTACCTTATTATTTCAAATGTTTAGCCAAGCTGCAGATCCACTGCATTGACAAAAACACATTTTTGAGGTTGTGTAAGAGGAAAACTGCATGATTATCTTTTTTTAAGAGTGTTAAGTACAACAAATTGTAAAATGAATGCCAAACATTAGTAGCTCTAGATGTGTTTCTTCAATACAATAAAACAGGTTTTTTTTTTTGTTTTCCAAAGATGCTAAACTTGGCAAGAAATGTACCCTGCTGGACTTGAGTCGACGCCCCAGTGTCGCTGCACCAGAGGCTCAGGGAGCTGCTGTGTCGAGCAGTGAGGAGAAAGATCAAGACTCCTCCAGCCTCTCCAAGCCTACAACAGATCATCCAATGACTAATGAGCTGGAGTCTAATGAGAGGATGGAAGAGGAAAAGAAACAAGGGGCAGAGGAGAAGGAAAAATCTGAGGAATTACCAGCAGATGAAACGCCAACAAAGATGGAGGTGGACCCTCCAGACTCACGACCAGAAGAGCAAAGTATGACAGTGCGGCTTTGTGTAATAGCACTGTATCTAAATGCATGTGTAGTTTTAAACTTGAATGGCTCTTGGCATTACACTTTTTTTTGTTTAAATATTGTGTACGTTTGAAACTGTATTGACAGAGAATGTGATACATTATCCCAGTTGTATATCAATGCAGATTAAAGTCTTTATACATTTTCTCTTCAGGTTCCAGTATTCAGGAGGAAAAGACTGCTGTGAAGGAGGAGCCTACCGATATCTCCACACGGCCCTTTAACTACGATGTAGTAGATGTCAGCAAGGGCTTCATAACGCGCATTCCCTACAAGAAGGTCAAGACCTCCAAACTGGATGGCCTGCTGGAGCGACGCGTAAAGCAGCGCGTTATTGAAGAGAGGCAAAGGCAGCAGGCGTCTGCCGCCAACCCTCAGACTCTTATACCCGTTGCATTCACAGCAACCCCCCCTTCGAGCACTCCGGTCCAGCCACGGTCTCCACTCAAGCCCCATGCTCTCGCTCAGACACAGCTTGCACTGGGCAGAGCTGTAAAAGAAGAGGAGAAACCCACAACACAAATTCCAGTGCCGGGAACAGTTGAAGGACGAGAGGATGTCAAGGAGGGTCTGCATGAACCCTCAAAAACTACGAATCAGACTGTCTCTCTTCCTACTCCTTCTCCTGTTCCTGACTCCACACCCAAAGACAGTTGCAGTACAGGTACACAAAACCAAACTCTTTCAAAGCCCAAGGTATTGGAGGCAGACTTAGTAGAAAGGACTATGGGGCAAAAAGAAACAAATACAGACATTTCATGGCAAGAGGGCATCAAACTGCCTAATTCACAAGAAACACCAGCAGGGGGAATTCAAAGCTCTTTAGAGCGACAAACAGCCAGCGTAACATCTGATGTTACCAAGGCTGCACATATTGAAAAAACTGGGTCTGACGTTTCCAACTTCAAATTCGACTCCCTACGGACTTCTCCAAGTGTTTTTGGGCAGATAGGCGGTCAAAACACATCTCCTTCTAAAGGTATTAATCCAAACCCAGAAACCTTAGGGTCAGCACATTCAAGCACAGAGGAAAACGGCATGGGGCCAAAGGAGATCCTAGGAAATATAGAACGCATTGGACAAGGTAAAACCGAAAGCGATAGCATTCCCAAGCCAGTTTCTCCTCTCCCTCAGGTAAATGGTAATGATGGCTTGGGGAGTGAAAATGTGTTAAGTAACTCTGTAATGAGCTCAAATAATGGTATACTTATCAGCAGTACAAAGCTTAAGGAGAACATCATTGGTAAAGTTGAAGAACATGGGGTGGTTGTGTCGTTGAAGGACGGCACGCAGCCAAAGCCTTTAGTGAACGGAGATTTGGCCCCTTTGAATGATTGTACAGAGGTTGGGGACAAGGGGCCAAGCCTAGTTTCTAAGATAGAGATTAAGACAATGACCTCAGACCAGAACTACAAACCTCCACTGAAGATCGCGAGGCTGGAGAACAATGTAGGAGCACTTGGAACTAGCACTTCCCCATTTCAGTCTATGGAGGACAAACCCAGTCCTGCGGTGAAGATCATCAGGATGGCGCCGTCTCCTATACCCTCAGCAGAGGAGTTAAGTCTGAGCGACGGCTTTGCAGAGGAGAACAGTAACAGCGGGACTACAGAACCACTCAAAACCATCATCACCCAGGTAACCACAACCTCCACGACCACCACAACTGTTGTTTCTACGGAGATGAGGATAGCAAAAATGACATCGAATGAGCCGGCTGTCGTGAAAAAGCCTGTTGCGTCGACAACAGAAAGCAGCGCAGTGTCCACCCTCACTACCATGACCAAAACAACTGTGTCCAAAGTATGTTCCCCTGGGCTGGACAGTCAGTCAGAGGACAGCCAGAGTGAGATAGTGACGAAGGAGCAGAAGACAGCACTGTCAGTCAGTAAGTCCACAACTGACAGCCGTGGTAAGACCTCAGTGTCGTCTGTCGCTGTGAGTCTGGAGGACTCGTTGTCCACAAAGGGCCGGGTCCGTCTCCTCAAGTTCTCCCGCACCAAGAAGACTCGCTCAGACACTGCCCTTCCTTCTTACCGCAAGTTTGTCACCAAGAGCAGCCGCAAGAGTATTTTTGTACTGCCACATGACAACCTGAAGGTGCTGGCGAGGCGAGGCGGGTTTCGTGAGGTGTCCATCTTCAGCTACAATGCCAAGCCAGCGCTGGATATCTGGCCGTATCCCTCACCCAGGCCCACATTCGGCATCACCTGGAGGTAAGATGGCTCTCTGGTTATTTTTCTCACAAGCTTATTAACATTTTCTCTAAAACACTCTCTCTAAGAAACCAGGAGTTACTGCTTTGCTAATTATACAGATAATTGGGTCTAAAACTAACCATTATTTGTAATTGTCGTTTAATCGATTTGTTGTTGGTGGATAAGGTTAATCCTACATTCCTTTTTAGCATCGCTCTTTTAAATTCTACCCTTGTTTTTCAGAATGCCATGGCCTGTTGATTTTCTGTTTATTTGGTGTTATATTTTCCCACCTGTTTTTACACATGGGAAAGTGATTTATACTGAAGACTCTCATGATAATATTATTGAAGATGTTCAAACATTTTTTTACTAAACAGCATAATAATGCATGGAATAAGTTGCCTAATTATACACTCAGAGCAGTCTCTTACACCCTAAAAGGAATTATGCAAATGTTTCCCATTGAAACTTGTAAGTACATTTTTTTGCTTGCTTTTATAGTCAGAGATAATGAATCACTCTAGAGAATTAGTTTTATAAATACATTATTTATTCACAATAGCAGCCAGTAAGTTCTTTCATGGAAATGTCCAAGTTCATCACCAAAAAACTCTGCCTTCTCTGACCGTCAATTGGACCGCAATAATAAACTGCATGACACGAGCAGTGAAGAGCATATATTAGACATTTCCATTTCCCTGGAGTTTCTTTCAGTATAGCTTTTTGTCATGTCATGTATAGGTGTTATGCTATGTTTAAAGCACTACTTGGTTGGACTAATGGTTACATGCAACTATATACCTGATTAATACCTAAACCCTGTGTTATAGGTACCGTCTGCAGACCGTGAAGTCTTTGGCTGGTGTTAGCCTGATGCTAAGGCTCCTCTGGGCCTCGTTGAGATGGGACGACATGGCCGTCAAACCATCCGCAGCGATCGGCACCACACGTACAGGTAGAGCCCCCTTACTCCATCTGACACCCAAATAAAGAGGCCCCAGGAGGAGTGGGAAAGACTGCTTACAAGTAGATTAGGGTTTTTTGGGGGGATAACAATTGTTTTGTTTGATATGTAAGATATAAAGGTGATTATTTTAGTGGAGTTTATGTGCTGTTAATTAATTCCTGCATGATTCTTTTATGAATGTTCGGTAACACTTTATATTAAGGTACACAAATTAACCATTAACTAGTTGTTAATTAACATGCACATTAGCAGTATATTGGCTCTTTATTAGTCATTATAAAACACTTATTAATGCTTTATTCTACATGACCATATTCTACAAGTAATAGGCCAATAGTTGAGAGTTTTTCCTCAATAACCCTCTAATTAGTGCTTATTTATTGCAAGTAAGGAAGTTGTTGGAGATGAGTTTTGGTCTCAATATGCACTGCTCAATATGGGCCTAATAAGGCAGTAGTACCACAAGAATAGTAATTCTCCCATAATAACACTTAACAAATATGATCTATTCTTATGTAACAAGACATGAAACTATAAGTGTTAATTGTGTATAAATAACTCAAAATTTGATATTTATATCTAAGAATATGTTTTGGGGTATTGACAGTTCAGCTACCAATAGCAGTATGTTTCATATTTGCACATTTATATTTTTGTACAATTTGTACTGAAGGTTAGACAGGAAACCGGGTACAGGAAATAGGATAAAGTGAACTGAATAGCATGACAGTAGACTACTACTCATTTCCTCTATGCAACCTGAATAGTAAAAGGGTCAAGTCCGTCAGAAACATTTATTGTGTTTATGTGATGATATTTGGAGATGTTTAAACACAATGAGAAAATGCGTTAGCATTCGCGCTAGCATTAGCATTCGCGCTAGCGTTAGCATACACGGTAGCGTTAGCATGCATGCTAGCGTTAGCCATACTAGCCTGTATGCTATAATGTATTTACAAATAAAGTGTTACCGAATGTTCTTCTTTTTTATACCGATATTATTTTCTATCAGGTTGATAATATGTGACACTGGTTGCTCAAAAATTGTCAAATCTGTGGATCAATAACAGTCATAGTATCTACCTTGGCTATCCTCCTGATCCCCATGTCATGTTGGCCCTTAAGAAGACACAGCCCTCATATGGGTCATATTGGTGTCACTTTGTTTATGTTGGAGCGCATTTCCTCCATCTTCTCGGGCTCTCCTCATCACCATACCAACCCAGCCCTATCCCCACTCATTGCTACAGAGACGTCAGACACCGAAATCACCACGACAGAGATCATCAAGCGCCGTGACGTGGGACCCTACGGCATTCGCTCTGAGTACTGCATCCGCAAAATCATCTGCCCCCTAGGAGTGCCTGACACTCCTAAAGGTTAGCGACAGTTCATATTCTTTACACTTAAGAAAGAGGGGTTTAAACATTACACAATAACACTGAACTGTTTTTGATCCACACAGAAACCCACACCCCTCAGAGGAAGGGGCTGCGATCCAGTGCGTTGCGCCCCAAAAAGGCGGAGCCGGCCAAGCAGACGGGCCCCGTGGTGATGGAGACCTGGGTGGCTGAGGAGGAGCTGGACCTCTGGGAGATCAGAGCCTTCTCAGAGAGGTCAGAGGGTCACAGGGTTCAACCATGTTATACATACACATTTGTCAGTGACGATATTCTTTGTTAAAATTCATTTGGAAGTTATGACAAAAATACATAAATAGTAAACAAAACCTTGACCAAAAATAACAAAATTGGCCACAACTTTGTAAATGTGCCTGTGGCAGATGCTCAAAATGTTTTAAATACAAGATATTAAACTCTTACAAAAAATGACACCTAACTTTCAACATTTATTAAATTGAAATTAATGGAGCATCATCTGACCTTATTTTTCACAAATGTTTTACTGTTTGTTAAGCTTCTTTTTTTTTCTTTTACAGGGTGGAGAGGGAGAAAGCTCAGGCAGCCGAGCAGGCCAAGGTGAGTCTGGTTCAGTTAAGTAATCTTCACGCTTAATAAGCACTTTAATCCTACAAATAATATAACAGTAGGCCTTTATTTTTCAAATATGTCACATCTTCTTTCAATGACGAAAAATTATTCAATCTGGCAGTGGACTACACTTAAAAACACTTACTCTGAATGAATGAAAACAGACAGTTCGTCAATGGTATCATTTTGCCAAGAAGCTAACCTTGACCATCCCAGTCTATACCAATCTATACCGATATAATAGCTAATTTAAGCTAAATAGATGTTATGTATGAGCAATTCAATCAATCAATCAATCAATATTTATATAGCCCAATATCACAAATGTTACATTTGTCTCAGTGGACTTCACAGTTCCTTTTGAATGCTTTTATCATGGGTTCCTATGTTAATGACCTGAATTATGTACCATCACAGAAACGTCTGGAACAGAAACCAGGCATCACAGTGACCCCAACAGGGACTCCTGCAACACCTGTCTCCACGCCCAAAGTCATCATCGGCTCACTTTCGGGCCAGGGCACCGCCACCACCAAGGTCGTACTGTCCACCAAAATGGGCACCCCCGTCACATTCCAGCAGAACAAAAACTTCCAGCAGTCGTTCGCCACCTGGGTCAAGCAGGGTCAAAGCACACAAGGTACTTTGCAGCATATAAGCACTGTCTACTCTTTGTTCTTATTTAAAGCGCATAGATCACAAATCATTGTACAAATACTAATAATATTATTGTATTTGCAATTGTAAATATGTCATTGTAACAGCATTTTTTATTTGTTTGCAGGTGAGACCACCTTGGCCACATCTAGTGGACACACCTTCCAGATTACGGGAACCTCTATGGGGGGGAAGGTAGTGACCACCAAGCTTCCACTCCCCTCCAACAGCAAGATCGTCACTGTCAACGTGCCAACTTCACAAGGAGGTAAGGCCGGTTTTAATACGCCACACCTTGGAGGCAGAAGGAAAGCACAAGTTGCATTTATTCAGTGTAGACATTTGTTCTTTCCATCCACCTCAGAATGTGTGTTTGTTTGTGTTTTCATTGCCTCACCTCAGACCCACAGCTGAGACATTTCAAATGTGTCAAAGAAGCCAAATTAGATCTGGCTCATTCATTTGATGCCGTTGTAAACAATTGAGCGTGCCAACCATGCACACAGCGCTCCAGAAGGACTGAGTCTGTCTTCATTTTTAAAGTTGTTGGTGCCAGCTACTGCACGTCCAAATGTTTTGAAGTTTACAAATGAGACACAAATGAGACACTCCTCTGTCCTTGATTGCCTTTGTCAGTGAGCCAAGTACATGTCTTTTAAAAACCCACGACCTAGAAGACCTGTTGAGCTCGATTAAACAAGCTTGTCTCTTTGAATCAGTCTCACAGGTGTCACAGTTAGTTTTACCGTATTGCGTATTGCAGTCTTGTTTTTCTTTACATGCTTGAAATTAAGATTTGTCCTCATTTAGCCTGATTCCATAGTTTAAATGATCACATACACCCCTCAAGGATTCCTGAAGTTTTTAGTAATGTGACTGTGAGAATTAACTAGATTTGTGCAAGACATATTGCAATGTTTAAAGGGGGTGGTATATGAGATGTAAAGAAGGTCTTTTTCTACAAGGTTTGTGCTGAAACCTTGTACTGTGATAAACCCACAGTAAATTACCTGCCCAGCTCCAGACAGACACACTTAGACACTAGCTGGTAAACATAGTGAAGAACATAGCAGGTAAAGAGACAGATATTTTTGTCAGTGGACACAGAATAAAAGGCTAAAACCCAATTGTGGTGGCCTTAATGTGCCAACCTCATGACTCAGCTGGTTTGGTGTCGCAGTTCATGTCTGGCTGTGTCCTGTCGGCATGGTGATCTAATAGAAAGCTGTTATTTTGGTTGGATGGTTTTTAGGATGGTGGAGTTGTGTAGTCTGAGGTTTGAAATCCAGACTGCAGATTCAGGATTGTCCGATCTTTAGTTTGATGCTTCAGAACTGTATAATATGTTAATATTGACACTGCGGATGAGGCGATGGTTTGTACTGAGCACCAGCTGGCATGTCTGCGGTCCTGGCATATTATCGGTGATTGATATGGCTTAACACTCAGTGCAGGCGGTCTGTTATGTTTACATGTTCCATTTAAGCTGTTGACAGCTCTCGTTTGGGTTATGAAGGTCAGATTCAACATAACAAAAACAATTATCTGACAAAATGTATCTAGAATTTGGATTATAGATTCAATTCGAACAGCTTTTTACTGTTTTAAAATCCTTCTGTCAAGCTAGCTGAAAGAAAAATGTGGAAAATAAAAATCTTAAGAGGTCTTTATTTTCAACTGTGATGCAATGATAATGTCAATGAAAATAGAGTATATGTATCATTTAATACATAATTGCTTTATAAAAACATTGCATTCACCAGATAAAGATAATGATATTCACCAAGGATACAAAGAAAGTGATTTTTCTTACCTTTGAAGTCACCATGAAGGAGAAACCAAGTTCAGATGGAGTGTAACCATTTAATGGACGTGTATTTATCCAGCATGACTGTTGGGCGCCCTGTTTGTTTTGGACGGGCTTAAGGAAGTTAGGCAGGAAAACAAGTTTACCCTGAGGTCTACTTACCAGACAGGTAGCCCTCTATAACGGGATTCCATTTTTCTTTTTTTCCTTCCTCCTTGTTGAATAAAAGTGCACCTCTCAACTCACCGGAGTCCTAACTCCCAGACCTCTCCAAACAGCCAGTCCATAGAAAAGTGTGTTTGATGTGTGTGACCGAGCTGCTACTCCCCTGGTCTTACGACCGGTTTAACATCCATGTTTGAAGAGGGAAACCCTTGATGTATAGGTTTACCTGCTCGGTTGCCGTTGAGAAACCGCAGCAAAAAGGCAGCAGAGGAAAAGAGCGACGCTCTCTCTGTTTTCTGCCATCAGCTTCACGTGAGCTCATTAAGGCACACAGCCTGGCGAACAAATATGAAACACTCCCTTTGTCAGATTAATGTTAAAAAGCAGGATCCCAATTCATGCATAATTTATGAGGGGGTTCAGGTATGTTGGGGGAAACCCAACTAAGCTTTCAGTGAGCCTTTGAAGATGTTGTTTACCTGCTCAACTAATATTTGCCATTGCTGTGATCAAGCACAGGCCATCAAGTAGGGAGAGAAGCCCACAAATAATGTATTTAGTTGTATCAATGCAGGACTTCTTACAACTTGCTCACTTGTGGCACGCAAACATGTGGCCACAGCTTCACATCAGTAATTGTATTAGGAATGTTTGAGCATTTAAATATGTGTTGGTGGATGTGTTTGATGTAAGACAGGTATTCACATACTACATATCATTGGGCTCTAAAGATACAAGATTACAAGCATTCCTGTGAGGATACAAATGAACCCTGTCCATTTCTATAAACTTACAACTTACATAAGCTGTCCCTTCTTTGCGGCTTTTCGCTCTTTCAAGCTTCCTTAAAACCACTTTCCTGCCATATGCGTGTCATCAAATAAAGTATTTACTTGTTCTTCTCTGATCTTCCCGCCCGGAATATTTGTATATTTATATCTTGACTGATGCGAAAAATGGTCAAGCTGCCCTCTTCTTGGCCTCATATCTACTCACTTGTATGTAAACTGTGGTATATTTATGCTTCTCTTCTCTCTGCAGGTGTTGTTCAGCAGAAAGTGTTGGGGATCATCCCGTCAGGCACAGCAGGCGGTGCTCAGACCTTCACCACATTCCAGCCGCGCACCACCACGCTCAACATCAGGCCCAATACCCCAGGCTCCCAGCAGCAGGTACATGTGCTGTGAAGCATCCATACAGTGGTTTAACTTCTTTACGTTTGTTCATTGCTTATGTGATCACAACTGAACAACTTTGCCTATTGCTTTGTTTTGTTCGTGTTGTATATTTTCTATGAATGCACGTAGTGTTCACATTACTGATTTTGTTGCCTGTGCTGTCGGTACTTTTTAAAACTTTTATATATAATTAAGTTCTTGCTTAATCAGCTCCTCTTTTCCTGAACTATGGGTTTGACCCCTTTTTTGTAAGATTCTAAAATGTTAGAAAAAAGATGCTGGCTTTTTAAATAACTAATTAGTCAAATATTTCTACTAATGTCCTAACAGGTTCTGGCAGCTGGTGCTCAGATCCGTCCAGGAATGACGGTGATCCGAACACCGATCCAGCAGACCGGACAAATGGGAAAGACGATACTCCGAACTCCCCTCGTGGTCCAGCAAGGTAATGAACTCTTCACAAGAATCCTTTATCTAGATAGAACAAATAGCAACCGTTTATATATATATATCATCTATGACAGTGTTTCTCAAACTTTTTCAGACCAAGGACCACTTAACCAATAAAAAAACACTCGCGGACCACCTAACTCCACAAATATCCAAAAACACATCGTTTTTCTAGAACAGATTACAAATCACCTGAAAATGGTACAAACAGGTGGCGAAGGTGTTGCGCTGGGCTGTATCATGCAATCGAAACTTAAGCTCGGTCCATTGCGGAGATATTCCGGCGAGAGCGCGGAAAACTTAAATGTATTTATAACTGTTCCACAATCCTTCGTTTTCCGAGGCTAGGAAGGATTCTTGCCTCGCTTCTGAAGCAACTGACTCGGAGGTACATGTGCTACCAAGCAAGCCTCCTCGACATTGAGAAACACCCACTGACTCTGAAGCAGAAGAAGAAGCTACACTTTATTAATCCCTTACAGGGACATTTCTTTCCCCACTCTGTCACACAGGGGAGGATATACATGCACAAACACAGAGGATGTACATGCACACACACAACCACATGCAGATAGGAGAGGTGGCAGAGCAGAGAGGCTGCCAGGTACCCGGGGCCAAGGGAGCAGTTTCGAGGTTAGGTGCCTTGCTCAAGGGCACCTCGGCAGTGGCCTTGGAGGTGAACTGGCACCTCTCCAGCTACCAGCTCACTCCATCTTTTTTTTTTTTTTTTCGATCGGGACGTGAACCGGCGACCCTTCGGTTCCAAGACCAAGTCCCTACAGACTGAGCCAATACCTCAAATAACCTCATATTCAAAATATCCTCTTCACGTTTCCAAGTCTAGTTCCATTTACCGTCTTTGTTCACCTTCTCTTCCAGGTCAGGGTGGACAGCAGGTCGTGACACAGATAATTCGCGGCCAGGCAGTTTCCACGGCAATATCTGGGGCCAGCCCAGTTGCCACGGTTACTGGTCAAGGGGCAGGAAGCCCCACGACTGCAGCTGGCACCCCGCGGGCGCAGGGCCAGGTCAAACTCACCCTTGCTCAGCTCACCCAACTCACACAGGTCAGTGAGGGAGGCATGGAAAAACACTGGGGGTCCTCGGTGCCGGGTTATATCAATAATATCTCCCCGTTAGCAATGAAGTTTGATTTAAATTAAGAATACCATGCCAAGATAAATGTATTATAATGGTCTGTACAAATGTTTCCTCTTTACATGTTTTCCTTTAAATGTATTTAGAGTAAACATATGGGTAAATATTCAGATTCATTAGTTTATTATGTATGAATATAAAGACGTTTTCAGCTCCATTATTAAAGGACAAATTTTGCAAATACAAAAATGCCGATTATCCTAAAATTGTACAAGCCTGCTACTTTGACAAGAGTAAAGTGTAGAGTTCAAGTTCAATTCAAAATCAAGTTTATTTGAAGAAGCCAGTATAGCAAATAACGGTTTACTCTTTTAAAGGTCATAGAGTGCATCCACATGTTTTCATGTTACCTCTCCCTCACCTCTCCGCCTCTCGTAGAAGCAGCAGGCAGGTTCAGCTGTTGATCGGCAGCCTGGAGTCGGTGGTACCCAGCAGGCTCTGACGGTGATGGTTCAGGGTCAGGGCCAGACCACTGGCCAGCTGCAGGTCATTCCTCACGGGGTCACGGTCATCCCAGGACCCGGTCAGCAGCTCATGCAGGCAGCGCTGCCCAACGGCCAGGTGCAGCGCTTCCTCTTCACTCCCATCGCCTCAGCAGCCACGCCAACATCAAGCACAGGTATGATCTAGGGATGCACACCGGTATCCGGTATTACCGAAATACCGGTTACTGGTGGCTACGGTATACCGTACCGAAATCAGATCCGGTTTCGATACTTTAAAAAAAGTTTGCGGCCCGTGATGGCGGGTGTTATAAATTTGATTGCATAATCATTTTTCTTCATATTTTATGTATTTTTCATTGTTTGTTCAATACTAGAAAGGTAAGTCCCACAAATGAACTGTGATGATATTTGTTTTCTCTCACCAGTGAAGGCAAATGTTGATTTTAAAGATGAGATTTGTTTGTTTGTGCAATGCCGAGATATCATGACCATTATTCTATTTATTTGTTCTCTAGTCGAATCTCAGGTTTAACATGAATTATAACGGTGCTATAACGGTCTGTTTGCATTGACAAGATGTGCTATTCACGCTGCACACCTGATGGCGGGTGTTATAAAAATATAGCCATAATCGACTTTCTTCATATTTTAATGTATTTTTCATTGTTTGTTCAGTACTAAAAGGTCCAAGAAGACCCACAATTGAATTTAATATTCATTTGAAATGTTAATCGTAAAGCGCTTCATGGGATGATACATTTTCAAAGTATCACGATATGTATTGGTTGAGTATCGGTATCGTTCAGTGGTATCGTAAAAAAGTCAACGATATGCATCCCTAGTATGATCACAACGAACACTCCACAGATATGCATTTTGGGATGTTTTGCTTCAAAGCGACTCATTGTGAGAATAAAATGGAAATTGTATGCAATTCTACTGGGTAATTTGCAATTAAGATACACTTGTCCTAACCTTTGACCCTCTTTATCTCTCTCTTTATTTCTCTCTCTCTCCAGCCACCACAGTTCCCGGTCAGCTCAACTCCACCTCCACTAAAACCCCCGCCCAGCCCGCCCAGCAGGCGGCTGCCCCCGTCCAGGCAGGGGCAACCCCCTTGGCCACTACGAGCACCCCTTCGGCGGCCACCCCACAAGGCCAGTTACCCCCTCAGACGCAGGCTCACATGCCGATCCAGTCTCCCACCTCGCTGCAGGTGAAAACACAGGGAGGAACGGCTCAGCTCATCAGCATGTCCGGACTGCAGCAGCAGGTTCAGGTACGATCAGCGAGAAAGGCTACGTTTACATGCACAATATTATTCCCGAACATGTAATTGGGTTTTTACCACCATTTACCACACACTGCCCTTTTGTCTGTTTATCGAAACAAAAAATCCTCCTATATTTGTATTCATGTCAACAAAGTCTCTGTGATCGCTATAACAGCAGTTCACTTCCCAAAACAGCTGTAGTACTGATGACTTTAAGCAACTGAGCACTGCTCAGGTAAAGCTACATGTTGTCCAGCAGCGGTAGACTTTACTGTTTTGTGCAAAACAGCTGTGGATGTAAATAAATCCATGGCAAGCCTTACCTGACCAATCTGTGACTGATCATTTATCATATCCAGCCATTCAGGTGGGGCTCTTATAGGTTGGTACTGTATCTCCATGTTCCTCAACCTGTGGATTAGGACGACCTGGTGGTGGTCTCCAGAGCTACACAGGGGGTTCCTAACGGCCTTCTTCATTTCAAGGGGTGTTTTTTTGTATATATAGTAGGGAAAGGAGGTCCTTTTCATAGCACTTCTTTTTTTTTTAAAACCACTGATGTAGTTGACAGTGGAAGATTAATCTAAATAGAAGTTTTATTAATGTATGAACATAACGCTGGTTTTCTTTCAGCTTTCTTAAACTTGTGTATCTTGTGTGTTGCAGGTGTTGGCGCAGCTGCAGGCCCAGCAGGCTGGAGGCTCTCTGCCACAGCACATCAAACTGCAGCTTCCCATCCAGATTCAACAGGCCGGGACCACCTCAGCTCAGGGAGGACAGGTAATGCAGCAAGCCAGTAAACCAGGCGCTAACTTATTTTAGCCTCATAGGAACCCACTAAGGGCCCTATTTAACATTATAAAAGCCTGATAACAATATGCTCTCTGCACAGATTGGGAACGTGGTGACCATCCAGGCAGCTTCTGTCCAGGAGCAGCTGCAGAGGATTCAGCAGCTCAGAGAGCAGCAGCAGCAGAAGAAGAGACAAGCTGCAGAGGCCAAGAGAGAGCAAGCCCTCAACACAGCCAGCCAGAGCGACATCATTCAGAAACAGGTGTGTGTGTGTGTGAGAGCGTGCTCAGAAACCCATCATAGCCAGGTCATCCATCTTAGTCCAATGTTCGCTCTCTCCCTGCCATCAGTACATAAACAGACCCCATCCTCCAACCGTCCACTAAGGCTGGGTTTGTTTTCACAACTCAGGCCCCGTCTCTGTTTGTTGGACTTAATACTAGTGTGTGTGTGTGTGTGTGTGTGTGTGTGTGTGTGTGTGTGTGTGTGTGTGTGTGTGTGTGTGTGTGTGTGTGTGTGTGTGTGTGTGTGTGTGTGTGTGTGGGCAAACTACACTGACTTTACACATTCAATACTAATCCAGTTCTATATATATTTGAAGTACAAATTAAACCTCAATAAACTAAAACCAGATGACTGTATATATCTTCTTTCCACTCATGGGTTTCAAGATGTCATTTTTTGCTTAATTTTCTCTCATACTATAAATATATTTTCTGTTGTTAAACATGTGGTTTGTTCTGACTTGTTTCCAGGTGGTGATGAAACAAAACGCTGTGATCGAGCACCTGAAGCAGAAGAAGACCATGACGCCTGTAGAGAGAGAAGAGAATCAGAGGTGTGTGTTTACAATATGCCACCGTGTGTCAGAGAATATAACTTAAGTGGGTTTACATTGGAGCGTTGTAGGTCATTGGAAGCAACGGTTTTAGGATTTGTGTCACTGGTCACATGTTTTTCATGCATCAGAGGAATGGAAACATGTTTCACATGCATACAAAAAAGTCCCCAAATACAACACTTAGCATTTTATAAAATACAAAAAAAAAAAAAATAATAAAAGCTAAATTCCAAAGTAGAGGAGAAAGGATTAAATGCAAAACTTCAGAATAAGCAATTGGGCATACAAATATCAATAGAACATAAAATACGAAAAATACGCTCTGTCTTGAAAGACATGCATTCCTCACAATAGAAAAAAGGAGGCCATTTTATTCTGTAAGCAGAGTTAGGAAAACTACAACAATACAAATGGATTCTCTACAACTGCTTGAATGTTTAGAAAGCCGTTTCTCCTTCACCTCTCCTGTTTACAATGCTGTAGATAACATATTTCTGAACTGCAGATGACCCTAACAACCATGTGTTGGTGTCCACAGACGGTGTGTCCACACTGTACCCATTCACACAAACCTGGAATACCGAACCCAGACTGCTGTGACATCACTGCAGCAGCGCCGTCTGCTGTCTGGCTCTCTGCTTATTTTTCATCCTTTTTCCATTTATTCATGTCATCCTTTTCTCTCGATGTTCCTTCAAAACACGGCTCTGTTAGTCATAACCTTAAACTCTGACATGATTTTGTGCGTTCTGTTCCATTAGTCTCCTCCACTTTCATGCTGCATTTGCTGCGTGTACTGGCCCATCTTTGACCTCAGCAGCCATGGATGTGTTTGTGTGTTACTCACACAAACGTTCACTACACATGTACCAACAATTTTCGATCTAAGTTGTGAATGTTAGCGAACACAAGTGAACATACTGGGGACACAGAGCCATGAACTATCTTTACTGTAATATGCTGACGTTCAATTTTCATACACATATTTACATAGTTTCTCTTTTTTTTTTATTCGTTGCTAAATATTTTACGCACTTCCTTTAAGAAATGCAGGAAGTGTTATCATAACACAGTATAGCATCGTACACATGACCGTGAATACATATATTAGTTCTCATTGGTTAGAGTTTTAGTTTATGACCTTTCTTCTTCACTTTTGTCATGATTACAAGAGCAGTGTGACTTCCCAGTCGCATCTCTTTGTCCATCTCTCTTCCACCCTTCAGCTCCCATGCTTCACAAACTCAGATTCTCCTACAAATAAACACTGGATATCCCTCTAACATCTGTGAGACACGTGGCCCAGGACCACAGCTTCTCTGACTGCTTGGTTCTCATAGGGATGACCAAACAACTGCATTGTTAAGGAAGTACTCAACTAAAGGATTTTAAAAGGCAGTGGAAGTGGAAGTTTCTGGGAAAAACAAAAAGTTGGATTTTGCAAGATCAGTGTGTGTTAACAGCAGAGAAAGGAATGGATACAAGAGAAGTCCGGAAACCTTAAGCTTCTTTCAATACTATTTCATATTTTATATTTCATACTGTAGTCGTGTAGTAAATGACTGGGATAGCATTTAATGCATCGCAAAGGATTTTCACTCTTACAAGTGCACTCCATTCACAATCATTTTCATCTTGAACACTTTTACACGTGCCGTTGCCATGCCCGAGCAGACGAGGGTCAAAGACAGACCAGGAGATGGCGGGAATGCAACACTTAGATGCAAACCAAATAAACTGGTTTGAATGAAATGGAGTTACCTTGATTTTTTTTTTTTCAGCAACATTGAGGGGCTGTTTTTGTTCAGTGCCAATAGTCTTGTATTGTTAATAATATTCAACAAGGTTGAGTCCTATTTTTCCCTCACTTAAATCAGAAATGATACTAATTTCATTAAATGATAGAATCATCAGTGTCTGATTGGGTGAGTGGTTAGTTGGCTTGCTGTAAAGTGCCTTTTGTAAGACAGGAAAAGCCCTTTCCTGCTTGTACCTGCTCTGACACTGCTTTCCTTTACATGAATGTTAATTGGCATTGAGGTGGGAATTTGGCGATACAGATTTCCCCGATCCCCAATGCCTGCCCCCATTCACAGATGACTTCAAGCAGAAACTATTCCTGAACATTCAAGGATAGCCTGCATGATAGAAAGTGTCTTTAGTCAAAACCCTGAGCTTTTTAGTTACACGAATGAGTCATCAGAACACCTCAGGGACTTGTGTTGAGAGAAAAGCTTTCATTGTTCATTGACACGCTCTGCCATTCCTTGCATGCGGAAAGTTAGATGTGTACATTTTTGAAGTAGCCAATACTCTTGCCGGTTGCACTGGGACACATTGAAGTATTGTTTGGATGAATGCTCCACTCCTGCCTACTGGTGTGTTGGAGTGATTAGGTTCTTCCTCTCTGACTTTGACCATTCCTCAGTTCGAGCATTATGTGTATTTTATTTGAACAACTTTAATAGGCCACTGCCCCTATATCACATGGGTCCTAACTTTTTAAAGGTCAGGAAGAAAAGTCTGACATGTTTCCTGTTTGTGGCTTTCCAGAATGATCGTGTGCAATCAGGTGATGAAGTTCATTCTGGACCGGATAGACAAGGATGAGAGGCTGGAGGCCAAGAGGAAGAAGAAGGAGGAGGTGGTGGAGGCCAAGAGGAGGTTGGCCAACGCCGGCAAGCTCTCCTCGCTCCTCTACCGCTACAAAGAGGGCCTCAAGATGGAGATCCTGAAAAAGCGGGCTCTTCTGGACAAAGAGCTGCAGCTCGAGACACAGGTATGGAGGGACAAATAAGGCGGGAAGAAATCTGTATCAGACGCTGTATACATTTTCAGGAGGTATAATAAAAGTAGCTAATCGGTTTGAATAATCCATAGAGGTTTACACATTCATCACAATGCGGTTTCAAAACCTCATCATATAGTTGTGACAAATGCAACTGGAAACACGTTTATTTCTCAAAGCACTCTTTGATCCCCGAGCAGCTTTAAGGCATTATTTGCTCGTGTCACACGGGCAAACTTTGAGAATCAGAAACAGGTTTATTACCAGGTAGGTTGACGCGTACGAGGAATCTGACTTGGTTTTGAGGTGCATACATAAAATTGAAAACACAGATAGAAAACTATTTTAAGAAAACTCTAATAGCATTAAAAAATATAGTAAATGATAGCAGTATTTACATTGAATAAGGTCGACATCGTAGAAATGCAATTGGAATAAAAATATGTGCAGTAATACAAAATTAAAGATATTTTATAATCTGTCAATGATTTCTATTTTCTATAAGTGTGTGGTTATGTAGAATGGTGTTATTTTGTTGCTCTCTTGTCTTTTTACAGCCTCTTTAGCCATATATTAGAGCCTATAAATGTATTACCTATAAATGTATTCTCCACCCAGTTTTAACCCTATCTCCCCTGCCATCGCGCTCCTCAGGAGGAGCTTAAGAGGGATCTGTTGCGGATCCGCAGGGAGAAGGAGAGGGCTCAGGCTGCCGCTCAGCAGGCCGCACAGGCCGCAGCTGCACGCAACAAGCATCAACACACGCACAGCATCACATCTCAACACCACCTCACCACCAGCGCCTCCTCCACACACAAAAGAAAAAGGGAGGACGAGAGGGAGAATGTGATGTCGGCAAAGTCCAAGAAGAAGAAGATGATCTTGACGACGAGCACCAAGGACAGCAAAAAGGAAATCAAGCTCTACTGCGTCTGCAAAACGCCATACGACGAGTCTAAGTATGAAGATGCTATGCAGAGTTTAAATACTATATTACCCAGAGGCAGCCAAAGAGGAGTAGGCACAGTTCAACAACTGATAACAATGATATGGCGCATTTGAGCAGTTGAACCTATCCACCGACCTTTGTAGGAATTAAAATACTCAACTTTCATTTCAAGTGTAGAAATAAAGTGCCAGTTGTGATTCCTGTCTCACAAAAAGTCACAGCCCCTGCGGTGTCACCCTCTAATGGTGCAGAAACTATAAGGGGAGATTGATTGAACTTTGCTGACTGCAGCAACAAGTGGAGAGCATTCATTCAGCCTGTGAGCGAGCACTAGCTTTAGAATCAACATTAAGAAGAGGGATTGAATTTCATTCTCCGCTCCTGATTAAACGACACTTAGGTAGCCGATATCCTAACAAATACTAAAGCCGAAACCCCCCCCCCCCC